GTATGATGTCAACAAATTTTAGACTTGGAAGAATACGTCAAAATTCTCTTGTCCAGCCATTCATAAATAAAGTATGGAGAAGAAGTAAAGGACTTCTCAGAATGAAATCACTTTTTAGAAGCATAGCCTTTCCCAAACTGCCTTATCTGATGAACAGAGGACAGTGAAGTCTTACCTCCAGCGAGTTACTAACCTCTCTTTTCTTTAGTATCAGCATCTGCTGTAGTTATAATAGCGCCTACCTCATAAAATTGTCAAGAGAAATAGATGAGTTTCTATTTGTAAAGCATTTAGAACAGTGCCCAGCACTAATATATAAGAACTATATTAGTGTTTGTTAAATAAAGAAGGCAGTGGCTAAAAAAGTGTAATGGTCAATTTTATTAATTTGTATAAAAGTGTGAGTCCTAATTCCCAGGGTTAACGGTGGCTGTTAAACATGTATCACTGGGCGAACAGTGCTTCTGATCCTTAATAAAATGCTAGAGGTGATATTTTTGGTGCCTGAAACCTAGTCTCCTTGACAATAAGTACTCCTTGCCCCTTTGTTACTCACTCAGATGTCTGAATTATTCAGCTCATGTAGATCTCTACGTATTTTGTTAGTACTTAAAGATTTAATAGTGAATTCTCACAGTACCTTTTCAGTCTTGCCATTTAAAAGCTAATGCTGTATTAGAACTGGAGTTATTAAGGTGTACCTTTGGCGTGTTTTCTGATCTCAGAGAAAACAGAATCAACTATTTTTCTTGATAGTGTACTTCAGAGAAAATGAATCTAGTCTACTGTTGTAATTAGGATTCTGAAATCCTGAATCGAGAGTGGTGTCTTAGAAATGAAATATCCGTATTACGTTACCAGGTCTCCAAAGAATATGCCTCTACCAGGTTGGCATTTAGGTGGGATGCTTTTCTTTGAAAGCTTAATTAAGAAGCTTTACTTGAATTTTTTTTAATACACTAACATTACTTTCTTACAGTTTGCAGTGTTGATGTGGGTATTTACCTACGTTGGTGCCTTGTTCAATGGCCTGACATTACTGATTTTGGGTAAGTCTATAAAAGCATTGGAATGAAAGACTGCAGGAAAAGATCTGTGTGCAAGGATCTTAGAGATTTTATTGGAGAATATGCTTATATTGTAGAACAAATAGAGGCGATATGTTTGAGGTTGTGATCTCTTTAAATAAATTGCTGATACTGTGTATTGAAATGCTACTTTAGTTCCTGAAGACAGCTCTAACAACAGGGATGAACCAGAACAAGTGTGGCCTTATCTAATGGTACTATCATAGATCTACCTAACCAGGTCTCACCTGTATTTTAGAAGCCAGGAATGGTTCTTGTAGCCTCCCTTGTTTAATTCTTTGTTCTGGAGCCGCTCCCCACCAGCAGTTGCATCCGGGAAATCCTGCGTATTTTTCTTTCATAAGGAACACTGCCCGGCCTGCCTAAGAGTGTTGCTAGTTTGATAAATTTTTAGTGTTTGTTCCCTAAATCACACCAGTCTATTTTAAAGGTTGTGTGTTTCCTTTTTCAGCTCTGATTTCACTCTTCAGCGTTCCTGTTATTTATGAACGGCATCAGGTAATTTCTTACCTGCAGATTTCATAATACAGAGCTCACTTTATTATGTGGAACTTAAAAATGTATCAGTGCTAGTTTCCCAAGTTTTATTAAAGTAAGAAATGTGATGGTTTCTTTTGCCTTTGATTTGTTGGATCATAGTTATGGTTAATCAGATTCTTTAGCAATAGTAATTTTCTAATAATTTATACTTCTCTTTCAGGCACAGATAGATCATTATCTAGGACTTGCAAATAAGAATGTCAAAGATGCTATGGCTAAGTAAGTATTTAATATCTGCAACTTATAAAAAAACTAAGAATAAGGTGTACTGGACTTTGAGAACAGTGCAGTATTTTCATATTCCAGGCATAGTGACTCTAACAGATCAGGCCTAAAGTGTGACACAATTGCCAAAAGATTTTTTTCTATCATCTTTTCGGTAACTTACTTCTATGTTTACTATGTATTTTTAAGGCTTTGTTTAAAACTAATTCATGAGGCCACAGTAGTAAAATTACAGCTTGTAACTTGACAGGATTAGATTTCATTTCTTATATAAGCTGAGCACTGTAGAAGTAGTTCTTGAAGGACAGCATTTTAAGCAGCAGAAAACAAGGTACTTCAAATGTAAAATGCTTCACATTGATTGACCTTTTCCTCCCCTCCTCTTCATTTGCAGAATCCAAGCAAAAATCCCTGGATTGAAGCGCAAAACCGAATGAAAAAAAGCCTGAAATAATTAACAGTAGGAGTTTATCTTTAAAGGGGATCTTCAGTGATTACATGGGGGAGGGCCAGGGAAGAATGACACCTTGACAATGCAGTGCAGTTTCACAGATCTTTATTTTGAGCGATGCAGTGTCTGAGGAAAAATTACCTGTCTTGACTGCCATGTGTTCATCTTAAGTATTGTAAGCTGCTATGAATGGATTTAAACCATAATCATAACTTGTTTTTCCTAAGAGGCACTGGTGAATAAAAAAGATCTGAGAAAGCTGTGTATTATACTTTGTTGCAGGTAGTCTTGCTGTATTTTGGGAATTACAGAGAAAGTGGAGCTGAAAAAAAATAAATAACCCTTTTCACAGTTCGTGCACTGTGTATGGTCTGTGTAGAGTGATGCAGAGTTGCTGAAATGAAATGTTTAGACGAGATCATACCACTAAAGCAGGAGTGAAAAGGCTTGCCTTTCTGGTATGTTCTAGGTGTATTGTGAATTTTACTGTTATATTAATTGCCAATATAAGTAAATATAGATTATATATATATCTATATATAGTGTTTTACAAAGCTTAGACCTTTACCATCCAGCTTCCCCACAGTGCTTGATATTTCAGTCATTGGTTATACGTGTGTAGTTTCAAATACATAAGCAGAAACAAAATATATTTCTAGGAGCACTACCATTCTGTTTCCAACATGAAATGATGCCATGCACATAGAACTCACCATTTAAACTTCATTGCACAGACTTACCGTAGTTAATTTTGTCACAAACTCTCAATCTATGGACTCAATCTAATGCTTCCAAAAATGTTGTTTGCAAATATCAAATGTTGTTATGCAAGAAATTATAAAATGAAGATTTATACAATTGTGGTTTAAGCTGTACTGAACTAAATCTGTGGAATGCATTGTGAACTGTAAAAGCGAAGTATCAATAAAGCTTATAGACTTAAAATATGTTTGGTATTTTGGTTTCATGGAATTGCAGATTAAAAGTACACACAAAGGGGGTATAGACTTTGCTCCAACCAGTGACTGGTTTCTAGAAAGGTTTTCAGCTCATTGTGCATCTGTGTTTACTTTGAAAACAAAGGAATACGTTTTTACATAATCACATTTACTTGACACATAACAAAATGTGTTTAAATGATGTATTTTTATATTTGATAATTGAAAATAAATTCATGCACCAATATTTTAACATGGAATACAGTGCAGGATTTATGAACATACATAAAATCATACCATATAAATATTTACTAATAAGATTTAATAAGTTTTCTTGACACACAGACACTATCGCTCTTTAAATATAGTTGTACATATCATTGATCAATTTATTCTTCCACACAGTTACTTCAATGCAAGATTCAATCAGTATGAAAGGTCAGTGGTACAATATAGGCAGACATGGTTATCACTCAGCATCACCAGTCACGTGGTTACAGAAAACAATTAGGACTACATAAGGACTCTACCTGTGGGCCCAACAACCTATCAGTGGATTAATGTAAGGCATTAATAAATTGGCATATAAAAATAGCTTAATGAATGACCTAATCCATTGAGAATGCTGAAGCACTTCTGTGGTAAATGTTAATCTAATTGAAAATGCTTCATTTCACCTTTTCTCTACACTGACAACTAGCCAGTAACTCAAGATCCAAAATCAGTTCACTGACGGAAGGACTCATTGGTGTATGTATATGTGCTCACAGTCACCAGTCCCTGCCTTAAGTGTGTGCCCTCAGCCCCTCCTGTCAGTGGTTGGCCAAGTGTCAAGTACCATAGAGGTGGTTTGGAGCTGTCTTCTGGTTAATATTGTCCAAGTCACATAGTTACCCAACCAACTCTGAAGAACTCCAAGTTAGATTATTTTGTTTTATAATCTTGATTTATCAAATATTGCTTGGGTTTAGGAATTTGTTCTGTGGAGATTTTTTTTTAATCCATACTTGACCTATATATAGTTCAAAAGCAAATCAGCAGTGTCAAGGCAATCCAGCTCCTGGGAGTGGTCAGCCCAGTCAGCCTCAGGCTACCTCATATGTTACTATTTTAGATTTAACAAGATAAATCGGCTTCTCCTCCTGGAACTGGTTGAGTGCTTTTTGTTTTATTTTCCCTACTATTTTGTAGTAGAGGTTTGTTTTTATTTGAATTCTATTTTGGATTCTGTGGGTTTGGCACTAAACATAGACTCATTCTACTCCCTCCCTCTTGAATTTCTTTGTTGCTCACCTTCCTACAGCCACTATTTCCCAAGCACGTAACTGATGTCCTTCCTTTGGGAAGCCTTGACATAAACATATGACACAGGTGACAAACCGGGAATCTGCTAAGGGTCCTGTAGCCCTCCTCGGTTTCAAAGTTTTAGCACCTTATGTAGAAAGGAGATAATTTGTGGAAGGTGAGACAGCAGCCCACAAAACTAGAAACTTTCAAAGGCACTTAATGGATATAAAACTCTGCAAACAAAACGTTAAAAAATTAAGTTTCTCAACTTGTTTATACATGGCTCATTTGGTTTTGAAAGCTAAATGTGGAGAACAGAGGCCATCAATAGTTCTAGGAATTCGGTGCTTCTAACTTTCGCTGTCCAACTTAGTTGTAAAAATGAACATTTTTAAAGTATATAGAAACATAATAGCAAAACATCTTTTGTAAAAGTTTTGATGCAAATTAAAAGCTACATACTGGTTAGGGCAAATGAGGCTTTAAATTTTGTCAGTGGGCTACATTATCAGACAGAAATTTTTTTTTTTTTTTTTGGTCAGTGTTAGTACATAGAGTTTTTAGTCTCAGGAACAGAGGCAAGCAGTCGTAACATTTTAGAACTGACCTTCCTTCTTGGCATCACAGTTTTGGAAATCCCCAAGTATGGGTGCAGTCTTACCACTTCACTAGCACACGGAGCTTGCGTGGCCTGCAGCATTGGAGGCGTTTACAGCAGCTGGTGGCTCGGAGGTGGCTCGGCACTGCCTCTGCAGTTGCTGGGTGGGAGCAGCAGCAGCAATAAAGTAAGAGGTTCCTGGCGTTTATAGACATCGCCACACAAATACACTGAAAAAGCAGATCAAACAGTCATTTTACATGGCTGGACAGCATGCTTTTATCATGTGACAAAAAACTTGCCGAGTGCTCCAAAGTCAAGCTCAGGTGATGGAGTGAACATGTCAATTTCCAAAAAAAAAAAAAAAAGCAAACCAGAAATCTTGCCACCAATTAAAGATCTACTACTGCTTTTTTATTTTGAAAGGTCTATTGTGTTGTGTTTTGTTTTGTTTGGCTCTTTCAGCAGCCAGAATGTCTGTGCTGAATGTGAGGACTGTTGGCAATTTGACTTTACACTATCTTGTTAGTACTGAAAGGTTTTATCAGCTCCACTTGAGTACAGAGCCCTTTCTAGTGTTCAGCACGGAGCCAGGGCTCAGTGTGCTCCCATGGCTGCTACGAAGGCCTAGGGGCCGCATTTTAAAGGTTACTTCTAAGCCTTTTGTAGCAATCAAAAGTCACCTGCATCTCCTTCACAGAGGTGACGGATTCACTTATGTCCCTTGTTGCTGGCTTGTTTACAGGTTGGCTGGGGCTGCCTGAATGGATGTTTGCACTCCACAGGGAGCTGCTGTCTGTATTATCTCACGGGCTCGAGTGCCAGCAGCAGCCGGCCCTGGAGATGGGCGCTCCCGGGCAGGCCAGCAGAGAGCATCCTCTGGGGCCACGGTGTACACGGTGCTTTTCGGTAGGAAGTGGGTTGACGTTCTCAGCAGTGCCTTTTCCACAGCCTCATAGACCACTTAGAAAATATCCAGAATGCACACGCATTTCTTCTTCATCCCCTGCCCCCAAGAGTTTTGCTTGAACTGAACAGAAACCGATGTTCGTGTTGCATTAAAGCCCTTCAACTACAAGCGGAGGAGCTGAGTGACTTAGAATGAGCCTGTCCTGTTCCTCCGCACTCCAAACAGGCAGTGCCCGTGGTGGAGGGACAGAAGCAAGCTGCACTGGAAATGCTGAAGAGGCTGATGTCATCTCTAGAGCTGGGAGAGGGGCTGCCAGAAACACTGGGAGCCCAGGCGCACCTCAGAGCAATGTGCCCATTTTACAAGCGCGGTTAAGGTCAAAAGCAGCCCTTGGCTTAGGAATCCAAATAAACTGGTTGAGGTTCTGCTACTAACTAGCACTGGGCCTAATGGCTTCTCCCCTCATCTGATCTCTTGTGTAAAATTGGGTAGCACTTGCCCTGCTTGTTACTCAGGGAGGCTGAGTTTCAGTATTTTTAAACTTGGTTGTGGATTAATCATCAATCTTAAGAATCCTGATGATCAGTTGGAAGTTACGAAAGATCAAGGACATTCTAACCTGAGTGTATGTAACGGCGCTATGGGTCGTCTAAGAGCTCCTACTGAAATTGGGATCTTGGGTCTCACCCACCTGTCCCTCCATCCAGCAATGCTCAGAGTGGCTATCACATGCCCTAGGCTTCTCACCAATCCCAGGACAGTTCTAGTGGAGACAAAGTCCTGTCAAGACATGGGTTGGGAGTCACCTGACACTAAATACTTTAAACTGGGAAAGACCTTGTCTTCATCAGGACTCTGAATTTTCTATTTACTGTCCTCCTCAGCCACTCCCCATGCCCCTGAGAGAGCCGGACCCACAGGACCCCTGAGGAGGGAGGGAGAGGTGTAGGGACCAGGCCTGGGGTGTGATAGATTAATCGGGTTAGTACCTGCAGTCATCGCCTCCAGTGCTGACCACATACTTGTCGTCATGGGAGAAACGGATGTTCGTCACGTGAGCGGAGTGACCAAAGTAACGCTTATGTTTGGCCTGTGAGCAGAAGTGACAGCTGAGAGACCCTGCTTCTCCCAGGAACCACGGACCACTCCCCCGAAGGACTCAAATCCCCTCTTCGCAGAACCTTCCCTCCCTCATGAGATTCCCACTTGATCTGAAACCTGTTAGCCAGCCTTTCGCTGGCTTTCCTGTCTCATTCTTGCCCCAGTTATAGCCATTTTGTCCACCCCCCCATCGTCCCCTCTCCAGGCTTCCAGGACTCTCCCTCCCCAGGGAGGGGGATGAAAAGGTTCGGGGGCGCCCAGTTTCCCCAGGGCTGGCACGAGATTCCTGTCGTCCCAGATGGCTCTCTGGGTGTGGCCACTATCTCAAGCACAATGCGGAACAAGAGCACGGGGGCAAGTGTGGGGAGGTTACTCTGAGGAAGACTCACAAATTTTTCTGTGCACGGAAAATCAAAGAGCTTCACCAGCCCAAAGTCATCTCCTGTGACAATGTTCAGGCCACCATGGGTCACACATGCGCAGTTAACATCAGCCTTGTCTGCATTTCGTGGCCAGATGCCAATGACTTCGTCTCCCAGAATGCTGTTCCGACAGGAAGAGGTGTTAGGAGGAGATCTGTGAGAAGCCTTGCAGTCAGACCTCCCGTCTCAGGGATAAGGGGGGAGCGGGTACTTCACGTAACGACAGTACGGTCAAGTGGCTCTCCTGGCACCTCTCCATTTGCCCCAGCTCTTCCTGTTCTCCTCTACCTGGGCCCATTTCACCCCAAAAAGGAAAGTACCTCCATCTGATTCTCTCCCTCTTCCCTATAGTCCTTGAGTATGTGTACGTTTGAGAGAAGAGTGGGGGCTCCTTCAAGCTCACAGGATGATGGCCTCTTTCCCTTGCGTTGGTAAAGCATTGCTTCCTACCCAGCTAAGTGGCAGCTCCAGCCCTCCCATTTCCTCCTGGCGATTACGAGGGCCCGGCCAAGCCCTGGGAGATGGTTTCCCTTTGCTTGCTGGATGGCAGTGGGATTTGTAGGGTTGATTACACAAAAAGAGGGATTTGCATTTCAAGGCCCAGGTCAAATCAAATCCAGTGGCCCAGACTGGCACCAAGAAGCCTTCTGCCCCCACCTCCAAAGGAAAGAGCTGTATCTCGGCTTCTTCAGACCCCAGCTACACACAGACTTGGAGGCTGAGCCTGGGACAAGACTCCCTTGTGACCTTTTCCTAAGAAGTGTTTTCCTCCAGTCACCTTGTCCAGGAGGCCCAGGTGATCTTCTCAATGACCATGGCTTCGGTTACCTGCTTCCCCAGGGGGACCTCATGCACCTGGCGCTTGTAGGCTCCCGTTGACACCTGCGAAGCGAAAGGAAGCCGTGTCCATCAGCTCTCCTCAGCCCTCAGGACCCCCATCTTGGTGGGCTGTTTCCCAGGACACAGGCCCCGCCTCTGCATCCCCAGGACTTTTCACTAAACCCAAGTTCAACAGTCCATGCAAAGTTCACATGAGCAGGGCATTTTTCCGTCTGTTTTCTCACTGTTTTCCATTTCTCATTGTTTTCCAAAGGCCTGATGCAGTGGTTCAAGGGTGGCCTCTGACCAGCAGCATCAGAATCATCTGGAAACTTGTTAGAGATGCACAAGCCTGGGCCCCTCCCAGACCAACCAAAACAAACCCTCGGAGGGTGGGGCCTGGCGATCTGCTTGTAGCGGCCTCCAGGTCACTTTGATGCTCACTTGGGTTTGGGATCTCAGAGAACCAAGGTGCCCGGTCGGAAGGCAGGCTGGCTTCCTCATGGACGACAGCTGCTGCGGATGACTGTTGGAGCCTCTAGGGCCTGACCCTTGCTCCCCTGGGATCTTCTTTGGCAGCAGTCCCCAACCTTTTTGGCACCAGGGACTGATTTCGTGGAGGACAATTTTTCCATGGGCGGGGGCGGGGGCGGGGTGGAGGGGGCAGACAGCGGGCAGAGCTCAGGCGGTAAGGCCAATGCGAGTGAGCAACCCCTGCTCACCTGCTGTGTGGCCTGGCTCCTAGAAGGCCACAGACCTCTACTGGCTGGGGCTGGGGACCCGTTCTACGGAAAACTGCTCATTTTCCAGAAAATGGCTGCTGCCTACCTCTCAGCTCCCCAACGCCCCCGTCCCTGCGGGTGTCTCTAGCCCAGCCTCCCCAGACGTTCCTGCCATTGGTGCAATGAGCTGAGATCCGTCTCACTGCAGAGCCTTCCTACAGACGGCCTGGACCAATGTTCCCAGCCCGCTGGTTGGCTGACGCCGACACATCCTACAGACCTCGGCTTAAATATCACTTAGGCAGAAAGGAAGTGAATCTAAATTCAGCCCCTGTCAAATGCTCCCACAGCACCCTGTACTTTTCCTTCTCAGCATGTGATCACATTTGTAATTTTATGTGTATTTTGTGATTATCTGGTTATTGCTTGTCCTCCATGACAAGGCAAACTCCAGGAGAGGAGAGACCAGGACCATTTTGTCCACCCAGAAGCCTACCATAGTGCCCGGTTTATTAAATATTTAACGAACATGTCCTCTCTTCCTTCACAATGAATATCCAACTCCAGGTCACTATATTTGCACTATATTTGTTCAGAGTGCTGGAGAAACTGCTCTGTCTTCAGCTGTAACTTTTAAGGGCAGGATCCCACTGTGCCCCACCCCACTTGTCAGTCCCCCGGGGAACCCCTGAAGAGCTCTCTCACACCAGGCCCACTAGCTGGAGTCCAGGTCCCAAGTGTGGTGGGTCCACGCTACTGAGTAGGATTTGAATTAAAGTGAATAGGAAGTGACATAGCTTTATAGGTGCAGCTCCTGAGAACTAGAAAATGGGAGGCTTTGAAGGTGAGGTGAGGTGAGGTGAATTATAGACGATTAGGGCTTGTGTTTCCTGCTTTTCTTTCTGGAGAAAGACTCTATTTTAAATTCTATTTCTTCAACCTGCTTAAAATCTCTAAGCCTCTGTTTCTTCATTTATAAAACAGAGGAAAGGCAACAGCACCTAACAGCACAGGAACAGGGGTTCCTGTGCAGAGGGAATGAGCACACGGACTGGAACACAGTAAGTACTCGGTTAACACAAGCCGTTGTTATTATTACTACTATTGGTGCCCCAGATACCAGTGCAGCCAAAGCATACCTGGATGTATTTGCCATCTGCAGAAAAATCCATCTGAATGACAAAGCTTGGGATATCTTTGCAGTAGCCGATGCGATTCAGGCTTGTGCCCTGAGTGAGGTCATAGAAGTCAACTGCATGTTCAGAAGAACCAACGGCCAAGAATCTGCTGTCTGGGCTGATTCTAGAAAAAACAGTCCAGGAACATGGTCACCAAAGGGCTGGTCAGGCATGAGGTCGGCTCAGGGAGGGCCTCTCAGACTCAATGGCAACGAGACCTCACTTCTAAGGTTAGCTTCTCCTTCTATGGAACATTCTATGGAACTCAACAATTTCTCTGGATCAAATCCCAAGAAGTAAGGAAATACAGGTACACAGTCTTTTGTAGAATGGCATTTCACAAGAAGTTTTCACCGCACACTCGTGGAAATTAGTGTAGAGATGTGTGTGTGTGTGTGTGTGTGTGTGAGAATTAACATGTGAGAGGGTCTCCTTTCATAGCTGGCTCATTGAAAGGGATCTTCTTACAACCGAGTGCCTCATTCCAGCCACGACCCCTCGGAAACGGGAGCCCCTGGGAAGGAGCATGCTGGCCTCTCTCCTCCTGCCCAGACTGCCTGCTACGTACCTGATATCTTGGATAGCGGATTTCCGATCTCGTTTTTTCCCCCAAACTTTCAGGCTGTTCACCAGCAAGATGACAAACTCTCCATTCTTCATGCCAATGGCCACCATCTCCCCGTCAGGACTGTAGGCTGCACACCTGGCAGCGTGGCCCAGGTTCACCTTGTTCAGCAGCTTCTACATTGATACAAAGTAATACCACCTGAGCCTCAGGCAGCCTCGGCTGGTCTCCAGGGGGACTCCTATCCTCGGGCCAGGGCAGCTAGGCTGCCTCTGCTGCCACAGTTGGCCTCCAAAGCACTTGCTCCTAGTTACTGTCCCTGAGTAGCCAGGGGGCTGTAGGTTTTAATTAGAGCAGCTTGAGAGGCTACATGTTTTAGGGCAGGAGTTCAAATTTCTTCTGTAAATGATTTGGAAGTAAATATTGCAGGCTTTGGTGTCCATATGGTCTCTCGCAACAGGCAGTAGGCCAGCCTTGACCCTCCAGCCATAGGTTGCTGACCTATTATTTATTGTTCGGGTGAAAGAGTTTGTGCTTCAGTAACTGTTAGTTCAAATCCTGGCTCTTACTAGCTGGGTGTGTTTGGTAAGTTATTAAATACTTCTCCATTTTCCCATTTGAAAAACAAGCAATAGTCATATTGGTCTTGTCAGGTTGTTGAAAGCATCAATAATAGTGTACACGGAGCATCTGATATGTAGTAGGTAGTCAGTCTACAACAGCTGCTGGTAATAATTATAATCAACGTCATAATCATTGTGAACTAACTTGGCTTTTAGAAAGGCCAGCACACTTAGCCTTTTGCATGTCTGTTCTTTGATTGGCACTGAAAATAGGACTCAAACATTTACTAGTCATTTTGTAATGAAACAAAGTATTTTAATCATTAGGAACTGAAGTACTTGTTTCGGTATTAGACAAGATTTGGTAATATTAATCTCTTTTTCCCCTAGTCTAGTCCTTGCTATCTTAGATTTTTACTCCAGATAAAATTTTAGTTATTTTTTTGATATTTTAAGTTGTTTTTCCAAACTCGAAGAGAAGCTTTGTTGGGATTTCGATTGCTATGTTCCATTTGGGAACATTTGACATTTAAATCATTTTTAATCTTCCTGTCCAAGGAAGATGATTTCTCTTTCTCTCTCTCTCTTGTTTAGGTTTTGTGGGTTTTTTTGACAAGAGAATAATCATTCTCACTTAGATTATTCCTGCTATAAATATTTGTAGACAGATATACAGCAAAAAGATAGACTGGGTGTGTGTGACTGGAACTTATTTTATTAAGCTTTCTAACGTGGTTACTGACCTGTGGCTGACCTCGTATTCCGCTCCCCCTTGCCCCATCCTCCTGGCCCTCTCCTCGCTACTCAGTGAGGCCCGCATGTGGGCCCTGGGGCCTGGCAGACTGGGCCCCTCACCTTGTCAGCCAGGTCCCAGATGCGGGCTGTGCCGTCATTGCTGGCAGAGATAAAGATGTCCTTGGAGGGGTGTGTGGCCAGGCCCCAGATCTCTCCTTCCATGTGTCCATCAATCAGGATGTTGGAAGCAGCATTTTTTTCACCAACTTCAATTATTTCTCCATCTTTGGTCCCCACTAAAATTTTTCCCTGTTGTAATCAAAACACTGTTAGACAAAAGGAAAAATAGTGTATCACCCACTCACATGAACTACCTAGAGCAGTCAGACTCATAGATCTAGTAGAATGCCGGTTGCCGTCAGCTGGTGGGGACTGGGACGCATTGCTTAGTGGGCACAGAGATTCAGTTCTGCACGATGAAAAAAGTTTCGTGAGGCAATGGTGGCACAGGAAGGTGAATGGGTGTAATGCCATGGAATTGTTCTTTAACATGATTAAAATGGTAAATTTTATGTCACCTTTGTTTTGCCACAACTTAAAGTAATTTAAAACACTACTGGAACAGCATGGGAAAGTGCCTTCATTGGCCCTGGTTGTTAAAATAGGAAGTGCTGAGAGGTGCTTTGTATTTAACTACTGAGTTGCCCTTCCTGGAACAACCTCCTCCCACCTTCTCACTTCGCCTTCTCCCCATTGGCCACCCTGGGTGAGCGCTTCCACACCGAAGTCGCCATCACCAGTCCCTGCTAGAACATTCCAGGGACTGCGAGCACACGACCAAGCAGGACGGTCAATTTCTGCTCTTAGGCAACTCGCACTCCTAAGTTCTTGCTGGCACTGAACAAAACCCCATCTTGGGGCGCCTCCCAGGCCCTGGGGCCAGTCCTGCCTCCACCTCCCCCACATCTAATCCACTCCCCTGCCATGATTGCCATTTATCTATTTAAACACAAAATCCCCAGTTTCAAATTGTGTGTACTGCAAAGTCAGGTTTGCCTTTTTTTTTTTTTTATGGAGACCATCTACCTAGAAAGCAATTCTTAAGACTCATACCAATTCAAAAATATAAACACAAGGTATTTATATTATTAAAGAGAGATTTGTTTTCAAGTGCACTGGAATCTCCTGGGTGGGAGGACGAGAAAGGGTAGAAGGGTGGTTAAAAAAAGAAGAACATGTTCTGTAGATTCTGATCTGCCAGCTGTGGGTGGGAGCCAGGACAGCCATATTTTCTAAAAAGACACCACGGTTGTTTTCACTATTCGGCCAAGCTATGCCTCGAAAATCAATGACTTTGAATCAATTTGGTGGCCCTTCCTCTCCCCCTCACTGACTGGATAACCTTGGGCATGGGGAAATTATTTACTCTCTCTGTGCCAGCAATAATATCATCTATAATAACAGTAGCTACCATCTGAATGTGACTATGTGCCAGACGTGATGAAAGGCACGGTGCATGTGTAATGCATGCCATCCTCATAATAACCCTGGGCTGGACACAGAAAGTTTTAGTGACACACACATTACAGGCCCAGTTCTACTGAGAGAGTCACAGTTTGCACCCAGGTCTGTCTGACTCTGCTTAGCTACCTCCTCGATACAGTCCACATCATGCCTAGGAGTCTTGTTTTAAGGACTTAAGAACCCAGCACAAGGATAGTGCCTGGCTGGTGTGGAAAAATGACATAAATGGAGCCATTTCAAAATGCAGTTGGAGCTGCCATTCCAGAGGAACGAACTCGCACATCTTGTTCCTTGAATCTTTTGACTGGGCCAGACCTTTGGGCTGGACTGAAACCAACATTGTTTTACAAATGACTGTCTGCAGAGCCAGCAGGGAAGTGAACAGTCTCCCCACGAGGACTGTGACTGTGGACTTTCTACCTGAAGACAGAATCCGTAACTAATCGTGTGTAGCCAAGGGTAGCTCACCAGTAGGAATTCTTTCTTCTTTTCATGCGATTATTCCTTTTTCTTTTCTCATAAAAACCCCTTGTTTTCTCCCTGTAATTGGGACACTATTTGGGTTTCTGCCTAAATTTGTGCTCCTCAACTTGCAATTTTTTGATCCTAAATAATTGCTGGTTGCTTCTCGTTTCAACTTTTTAATTTTAGGTTGACACTTGGAAGGGGCTGGACTACGCCTCACGGGGCCCCCTTCCCCCGCCCCACCTGGCCGGCCCGTCCCCAGGGCAGCCCAGTCGCGCTCACTTTGCCGCGGCACACGGAGCGCACACACTCCACCAGCTGACCCGTCTCCAGCTGGAAGGCTCGGCAGCGCTTCATCTCCTGGTCCCACAACTTTACTGCACCTCCTTCTTTGGTCCTAAAACAGATCAAGAGGAACTTAGCATGTCAGCCGTTGCCCTAGACGTCCCGTAACCCTCCACTGCCCTTTCTCCCTGTCGTCTCATTACGGTCACAGGCACCTGGAGCCCAGCAGGGCTGACCCTCCAGGGTGGCCCCTTTCCTAGGCCCTGCCGATGTGCCATCACAACCCCTTGAACGTGCAGATTTCGTAAAGTGTCTGGAGAGCCATCACCTTGGAAGAGAATTGTAGTCTAGAAAATCAAAATTTTTATTAGGTCAAACACAAAAAGGAATGTTCCTCCTATTTTTCTGCTTCATTTTCATAACTTCCTTATCCCCATGGGAACGTCTCTGTCCTGTTCTCACTTATCCTTTGCTTCTTCTCCCACAGAGCTACTGAGAGTAACAGTATATAAGCAGTAAAGTTGCTCATATCTAATCAAGAATACCATTCTGGTTTTTAAACTACCATTAAATAGCCTCTCTCCTTCTCTGACTGCTACCTCTGAAGGTTTTGACTTGGGGTCCTCTCGGGGAGAAGGTAGGTCATCTCCCTGGTGCAGAAAAGATAGGAGAACGAAACTCTGCATTTTCTCCAAGTTGTAGATGCTTCTGTCAGTTTCTTTAAAAACAAAACAAAAAGGCCACTTGTTTCCTGAGGAGCTGCACTTACGGTCGCTCTTTTCCGCCAGTCACTATGAGTCCATCCCGCAGGGTTGTGTACATGGTGAAGACAGGGCCTGTGTGGGCCTTGGCCACCAGCCGAATGAGGAAGTGGTCCTTCCACACATAGACGTCCCCATTGATGGCACCCGTGAAAGTGAGGTTGTTCTGTAAACAAAGGGACACCTTCCCAGACACTTGCTCCCATTAGGGAACCAGCCCTGGAGAAACGGAAACATGCACTCAAGCTGACCTGTGCTAAGGAAAAGCGAAAGAATTTGCAGGCTACCAAAGACAATATACAACAGACCTGGCTTTGAAATTCAGTCTGTTGAATTACTCTGGCGCTTTTCATCCCTGCACTGAACACATCTCTGCATTTAGTGAACTTCGAATCTGGGGCAAGCCTCCACCTGAGGGACGCTTCCCGGGGCTCACCTAAGGGGTGGCACATCCACAGCTGGAGGGCCAAGAGTGGGCCCTGTTCCAGGATGTCCCCAGGGGGCGTTGCCGGTTGGCTGAGGGCACCCACAATCCATCTGCGGGTGTCGGTTGGGGGGACTTGTGGTGCACAGGGGCGGAAGAGAAAAGGAATGCTACACTGTGGTAGAAAGGATCCTCACCTCCTCTGCGGCTGGCTCACCCAGGCCTGACAGGCTTCCAAGTCACTTGGCCTCTGGAATAGTGAACCTTCTGTCCTGAGTGGAGCCTACCCTTCTCTAACATTTTTGGGAACAGTGATTGCAAAATAGCCAATAAAGCTGACAATGGAAAATGGCTTTCTTGTTGTTTGCAGCTTCTTGGCCATCTTCCTCCCCCTGCCGCTCCCAACACCCAGGGGCTCTGGGCCCCCTCAGGAAGCCTCTGCTGGAACTCACAGCACCGAAGGCCACAGAGAGCATCGTCTGCATCTTGGCGGCCTCCATGGACCCGATGACCCCTTTCTTGTAAAGGAGGGCGCTGCCTGCCAGGGTCCAGAATTTCATATGTTTGACTCCAACAGACACAAACTGTGTGTCTGAATCAGGGCGAAATTCCACCACAAATATGCGCTCCAGATGACCCCCTCGGCTGGCAACCTTGGCACCTGCGTGGATGAGAGAGTCCAGTGAGGCGGCCCGCCCGAGCCCCGGGGCCAGGCACGCAGCGCCAGCCCGGGATGGCTCTCCGTCCCAGCAGGCCCAGGGCGCGCTTCAGTGTTCTTTTTTCTGTAACAGCACCCTGCCCCCTTCAGGTGCTACTCCCAAGGTGGGAAAGAGAGGCTGTGTCCAGGAAAATTTCCAGAACAGCAGGTGCTGCTAACATAATTCAGTTCCACTCCACCCCACCCCCACAAGCCACACCCAGGCATCTGTGGACACAGCAGGAAAGGACAGCCTGGAAGAAGGACACTTCCAGATCAGAGAAGAGGGCAAAATGGCTGAGGGCATCCGCATCCGCCAACTTCACCACGAGGCGCACCTCATAGGTGACTCACATTCTCTGCGTTTACTTTCTTCTTAAATAGTTTCCCACATTCCCTTTTCTCTTATGGTTTATAGGTTTAAATTCTTTACCTTTTACATTTAATTACTAGTTGTTGTTTTTTTTTACCTCAACTCTATTATGTTTTTGACTTATCTCTTGAGTTCTTTTTCTCTCCTGAGCTTTACCGAACCTTTGTCTTAATCAAACCCCAATTCTGCCATTTATTTGTAGAACATCTTTGGACAAGTTATTGAACCTCCCTGTGCCTCAGTTTCCTCATCTGTAAACTGAGGCTCATCATCGTTCCCAGTTTTAAAAATGTGGTGGGGATGAAAAGAATTGATAGAAGTGAAGCCCTTTAGAACAGCGCTTGATGCAGTGGGTGTTCTGTAAGTGATAACTATTATCATGATCACTCTTTTAGCTCCTTTTTAAATCTCTTGGCTTCTATTCATTTAGCCCTCATCTATTTTTGTCTCATCAGCCCTTGAGTTTTCACTTTTATTTTAAACTTCTATTATCTTTTATTTTCCCTTAACCTTCTCTTCATGTTTTAGTTCCAGTTTCCTCTTATCTTTTCTCCCTGTGTTTTTCATGCACATGTATGCTTTCTTCCCCTCTTTCTCGTCACTCACGTTTACCTACTCATTTTTATAACGAATGGCTCCCTGGCAGAGTGGTGGCGGCTGGCCCACAGCCGGCCTGCAGCTCTCCCCACTGGAATCGCCTCCCAGGGATGCGGGGCTGGGGGCGCTGAGGGTGCTGGGGAGGCCGCAGGTCACTTCTTGCCACCAGCAGTAACTCCCCCTGCACAGGGACCGTTTGAGTTCCTGTAACAGATCCCTCACCACCTTGGGCGCGTGGTCCCCAAGGACACCGTAAACTAAGTTAAAAGACAAACAGAGTGGGAGAAAACATTTGCAGAGCTTACGTAAGAGACAAAGCACTAACACTGAGAATCAGTAAAGGATTGCGGGTCGTAAGACAAACCACCCTCCCATCCCCAGCAGAAAAAGGGTTTGAACCGATGAATTACACAGAAGCAGCAATATACAAGCAGTCAATAAAGTGATGGAAAGAGGACCAATCTCAGCAGTCCCAGGGGAAATGCAAACTAAAACCGTAAGATGCAGGTTTCTCCTGAGCCGCTGTCGGTTTTCCCCTTGTTGCCCCGTGAGCGCTTTGCACTGTGGTGACACCCGTCTCCCTCTGGCTTCTCGGTTGCTCAGGACAAATTTCATACAAGTACCTAGGACCTGACAACATGCAGTTTCTATATAAGCTCATTTCCTTACTCCATTTTATTTTGTATATTCTTACCTAAAAATGTACATAAACCTCCCTGAACGCACATATTGTTTATTTGTAAGCAGGACTTCAAGTGAGGGAAAAACCTTCAGCACAATCAGCTCAGGAGAGCTGGCGGCTGGTGAGAGGCCATGAAACACCGTCACTGGCTCAGAACGCTTCTCTGCCCTTCCGACAAAGACCGTGGCAGAAAGCTACCAAAAAGAAGGCTCCCCGTTCCTGGGAGCTTGTTTAAAAGACCTGGCTCCACCGATTCTCCCTCAGGAGGTCAGAAGGGGCCCCGAGTGAGCAGAAGCCGGTGCTGGGGCAGGGCCAGAGCGGGCACTGCTCAGAGGGACAGACGAGGGAAGCGAAGAGAGCGAGCCTGAGCTGAAAAAGACCAGACGGTGCAGGGGGCCGAGGCAGCTTTCTTCCGGGGAAGGAGGAATAGACTTGGTCCTGGCGACCGGCTACCGCAGCAAGTTGAGTCAGTAGGTGCTGCAGAAGAAAGGCGTCGTGAGGTAATTGTGACCTCACAGAAGAAAGGGCTTACAGGAGCTTTCCAAGACTGAGTGGCCGCCCTGCAAAATGACGAGGGCCACATCCTTGAAAGCATTCAAGCCGAGGGTGGAAATCGGCTTGTCTGAAGTGCACGTGGGGCAGTTTCTCCATGGGATGCATGGTCTCAGGGCAGGAAGACTCATCGAGTCCCTTCACCTCCATGCTGCTATGAGGCTATCGTTTCAGAAGCCAGTCTGTCATCTGGGGTTGAGTCTATTTAATCAACATTATGAGGAATGAACCTGCATCCCCAAGGTACAGATTATGGGGCCATTTGGACACTAATGAGTAAGAAAATGAGAAATGGATGGAATATGATGAGGGAGCCTCATCATAAAAGTCTGCAGGTCCCGAACCTGTGTTTCTCATGTCGGGGCTCAGGAGGGACTGGCAGTCCCCTCCCACTGTGCTCATCGCTTCACAGCCCCTCCCACAGGAAGATGCTCAGATAATGGGATTCTAGAAGCCCTGGGTCGGAGACATGCCACCTCTGGGCATGCCGGGCTTAGCGTGCCCCAGATACGTGCCGCCCGGCTGGAGACAGACCTCATTAATGCCCTAACTAATTGGATCTGCTTTTGCCAGCCTGAGAATATGCTCGGAAGATCGCACATCTTTGGTTCTAAGACGACCATACATTTAGTAGCAGCTTGTGTGTGTGTGTGTGTGTGTGTGTGTGTGTGTGTGTGTGTGTCTGTCTGTCGGGGAAGGGCAAGAAAGAAAAAAACCCCTGATCAATTAAATGTAAACCTTGATTATTAGATGAATCCCCATTTTGAAAAAGTTAAAATATAAAAAATAAAACATGCTTCTGAGACTATGGTGGTGGAACCCTGTCCCTAGTGCCTGTAATAAGACCACCAAGGTGACAAGGCTGCAGCAGAATCCAGGAGTCGCCAGAAGGAACGCTGAGGAGAAGGACGTTTGGGTCGCAAGGCAGTTAGGATAGAAGTGGAGGAGGCTGCCCTGCCTTCTGCTAGAGGAAGAAGGCTGCCAGCATTGGGGCACTTTGTGCCCAAAGACCCTTCACTAGCCAGCACAGACCTGCCGTGGCCGGGCCCTCCTGGCCGTGGGGCCCAGGGATGCAGTGGGGCCCAGGGAGCAGGCTCTCCAGGACCCCAAGAGCCCTGGAATCTGCTGACCCCACAGCAGTGCCTCGTGGGCTTTGCTGGCGGCAGGTCAGGCTGGAGCCCAGCCCATGCCCCGAGCACGCCTCCCGGACAGACAGAAGCCCAGCTCCGTTTACCTTCCTGCCAACGCCAGACGGTGATAGTGTGCTCCGGGTCCACGCCCACCGACACCAGCAGCTTTCCGGTTGCACTGAAGTTGATGTAATTCACCCCCTTTGAGTGGAAGCACCGCAGCATGGAGAGGGTGTGCTTGGTCATGGCATCCCAGACATGGATGGAAGGTGTCGTTCCTGAATGTGGAGGCGTGACAAAGAGCTCAGGCTGGGGAATGGCGGAGCCAAGGCCACGCTATGTCCATCTAAGAGTCAAGTGTTCGGGGGCCTTACAGTTACTGGGCCTAAGAGACCTACCGCCTGACCTGGCCAGAGGTGAAGGCCATAGCGGACATCTGCTGTGCTTTTAGAACAGAGACTAAGGGCACTTATGCCCCACAAGCACATTTGCAGAGGTGATTACATGAAGGAGACTGATGAGGTCAATGACTTGTATCTGTGATTCAGCCAGATACAATCAGCAAACATGATACATCAACATGATTTTGCTGTGCAGATTCAAACTACTCACGAGGGAACAGCCTTACCTGGGGCCTCCGTAATATCACCTGCATTAGGTGGGCAATGGCAATGAGGAAGCGTCAAAGGAAAACAACAGCTAAAATAAGTCATGTTTCGAATAGTGAAGCACTCAACACCAGCATCAGAAAGTTTCAAATTAAATTTAAAAAATGGACATGGGGTCAATGAGAACAAGCAGGAAGATATGTTTGTAAAAAATGCCTTTGAAATGACCAAGTTAAAAAACAACACTTTTCACAAATGTGAATCAGGTCACATTTGTCACTGGCGGTTGCCTAGGATACAGAAGACCCAGGCACACACACCGCAGTCTACCCTTGCCGAGCACAACTGCCAGGCTGCAGACACTGGGCTCTACACTTGGTACCTGGGGTCTGAAAAATTACTCTCACCAGTCCACGGGGATGGGGGCCCTCAACTTATTTGGACTATGATGCTATGGCCTGATTTTATGGTTCCTCAGAATCACCAGTCACTGGATGTGTTAACTCAAGCAACACAGATACATTCTGGGCTCAAAAAGTCAACAGCAACATCAATGAGAAAGGGTGGATGCCAGTGGGCCACCCCCTCCATCCCCCAGTAACTGCTAGGTCAGTGCTCCCGCTCAGCGGGGAGAGCCTCAGCTGCGGCAGGGCCCTCCTACCGATCTGGCTGGTGGCCACCACGTTTCTGTACTTGGGGTGCTGGTTCACTGTGAGGCAGAGGATGTCGTCCGTGTGCTCCAGGTAGAAACTCTGGCTCCCTGTGAGAGAGACGTAGAGGGTGAGCAGGGGAGCCTTAAGGCCCCAGGGCAACCCCAAAGCTTTGTGTGGTGTCTTTGGAAATGCCCTGTAGCATAAGAGCTTAACCCCAAATCCTCACTTCAGGACCATGCTTGGGGAGACAGGAGATCACTTTATACATCCTCCCTGTGGCCCAGGACTGACGGCCTCTCGATGTCTACCTCTGAGCAGCGGCGGGTGGGGGCGCAGGTTAATGTTGTACTGAGCAAAAAGGCACCGCTTACCTGTCAGACAGGGGAGACAGTGAAATAGGAAAATACAGACAGTTCCTGACTCACAACGGTTTGACTTTATGGAAAGTGATATGCATTCAGTAGACACCATACTTTGAATTTTAAACTTTGATTGTTTCCCGGGCTAGCGATGTGCAGAACGATTCTCTGGTGGCGCTGGGCAGTGGCAGCACCCAGCAGCGGGCCACGGCTCCCTGTCCGGCACGCGGTCAGGAGGGTAAACAACGAATGCTCTGCAGTGTATTCACCGTGTTAGGTGATTCTGCCCGACCGTAGGTAGGGAAAACGTAAGTGTGGCTGGGCTGAGCAACGATGTTGGGTAGGTTAAGGGTATTAAATGAATTTTCAACTTATATTTTCAGTTTACAGTGAATTTGTCAGCATGTAACCTCATCATAAGTCAAGAGGCATCTATACTTAGAGAATCCCTTTTAATTATCTTTGTTCATTATCAAAGTGCCAACCCACTTGGGTGCCTGAGTGGCACACACAGGTGATGGTTCACCCCCAAAAGCCCCAACTCGACATATGTCACAGGGAGTGGAAGAGAGAATAAGAAATACTTGATCATCGATAGTGGCAAATGGGTTTGCCAACTGTCAAAAGTGGCCACTGTAAACTCACAAAGAGGTGAATAATGGTACTGCTATATAAGGAAATAACACATTGCTATTAAAATGAGAATATTATATAGAAAATTTCAAGGTCCTCCTCTTCCCCAAAGACAAGCCACTATGTGCCCAATGATTTCATTGTCTAAAAATCTATGCATGAGCAACTACACCAAATGGGAAGGGCACAAATATTTGAAAAGAAAGAAAACAATTGTTTTAAGATATGAAGCAAATAAGGCAAAATATTAACATTTAAATCTAGTGATAAAGATATGGGTGTTTGTTAAATTAATTTCTGAATGCCTCTTTTTGCTTGGGGAGTGTCACTTTTTAAACTATTTTTTCATTTAAGAGTCAGCATATCGTTAAGGGACATTTTGGGTACTTTTGTTTTTGTAAGTTCTCATCTTCACCATAAATCTAAATAGTCAAAACAAGCAAAACTTGTAAATCTGAGCTGCTAAAAAATCAGTCCCTGTTAAAAAGGAATGAGAAGCGTCCCCCTATCCTGCTCTTCACTGCTGTTTGTAAGGAATTCCTCTATTCCCCACGCCCGCTTTCTGGCTCCTCTCCACCCTGTCAGCCTTTGACCCTTTGACTCTTCAATCATGTGCCTGAGCATTTTCTAGGACTAAATGAGACCCGTCTGGAAGGCAGAAGAAGGGCTTAAAGGGAAGAGAATGCTTAAGCCTGGGGGCATCTAAAAGAAAGTGCATAAAACAGCTGAAAGAAAAGCCTGCATTTAGCCAGTGGCTTCTCCTGGCCCAGTCACCTGTAGAGAGGTTCTGAACGACGCCGGCTGCTGCGGTGTGGAAGATGATGTCGGCCCCGTCGTTCAGGTAATGCAGGTTATTGCGACAGTCGAATCCTCTGTAGCCAAACACGTGGTCAAGAGCCAGCTCCTACATTCCCACGTGAAAAAGAAAGCAGCCCTGAGAGGAGCGAACCCGCACTGAAGCAACAGCCATGCCTCTCACGGACACCGCGTGGCCCGTGAGACAGCCAACCTCTCACTAAAAACACTCTGCTTCTCGACTAGCTGAGGATAAAATGCAGTCCTTCTTTTAAGCTGCCTGGAACACGAGGGGGCCAGGATAACATGCAGAATTACAGGGAGTTTTCTAAAAAAACTAGATATGCTTCCCTGCTCCTCAGGTGAGCCAAAGTCTCCGGATTTGACACTCTGTCTGCAAAGGTTGCCTAGAAGTCTCATGTCCGTGCCTTGGCAGGCACCCTTGGGCGAGCTGAATGGCGGCTCCGAGATCTGCTCTGATTCCCACAGATGCAGCGGGGCCTGGCGCAGCAGAACGTCAAGGTAAATGCCACGCTCATTCTGCTGCTGGGTGCTTGCCCTACCGAGTTTCTACACCATTTACATTTTTTTCAACAACTAGATATTGTTCTGGCTTTGTAGTCTTCTTCCTGTTTTGTCTTTCATGACAAACAGCAGTGGCTGATTCGGATCAGATGGGCTCCTAATTCAATTGGACACACATGTCTGGCTGGCAGCGCATCTGTGCCAGGCACTGTGCTGGGGGGTGGGATACAAAATTAGGGAGATGTGGGTTCCTTTCCTCCAGGTTCCCCGATTCTGGCCTTCCCTTTCTCCAAAGCTCAGCAATTGCAAACGTTAGATGAATTCTCCTAAAATACCACACCATCTCCTTACTCAACACTTGCTGACTCTCCCTGCCCATGGGAAGAGCCCACATTCCTCAGGTTGGCACAGTGAGCCCCCATACACCTCTCTGGTCCCCCTTGGCCAGGCTGACTTTTCTATTTAGCTCACATATCGTGAGCTTTCCTATCTTTATGATTTTGCTTTTTAAAATCTCTCTCATTGTGAAACTCCTCTTCCTTTCAACTTCCTGAGTGTCTCAGCCCAGCCCGCAGCCTCCCTGCACCCCTACCCCTCACTCCCAGGTGTTTCCCAGAAACTGTGTGTGTAATAAAGTGACCTCCAGGCCTCATGGACAGCTGACTCATGCTGAGCCAATCAGATAGTTTCTCCCAGGAATTTAGGACTGGGGACCCTGGTAGACCTTGCTGTTTCATTAACTGAGGAGGTGTAAACTCAGGTGCTGGGGAGCACCCATTGTCTACCAAAGTAGTTCTGAAAAGTCTGCAGAAAAAGAATAGACTGCATCAGATGCACACAAGATCCAGTTGGGCAAAAAAAGGTACCATCTTGGCTTATAATGGCTTTTCAGCTCCTGGATCTTATCTCTCTTAAAGCTCAGCTGCATTTCCTGACCTGTGCTGTGTTCTTATGATAAGTCCCCTCAGTGAATTCTCCTTTTCCAGTAAAGACCTCAGTGGGTTCAGTCTAGTAGGGGAGATCAATGAGCAAGGAATACAGGCAGCAGGGTATGTGACAGGCTGGCGTGGGGCTGGGGTGTGCGGGAGGGTTTAGGGCGAAGAGCGTCAGGAAACCGCACAGAGAAGGTGTCAGAAAAGGACTTGAAAGACCAGGGTATGGGGTGGGAGGAGGGGAGCTTCTGATCAGAATGGAGCCTGAGAAGTTCTCTTCAGGAGCCCAAGAGCCCAGGGCGGCTTCAGAGGCCGTTAGGTAGTTGGTTTGGGGCTGGAGGTTTGAGTTATGGTGAAGAGTCAGTCACAGGAGGTGGGCTTGAAAGGAGCTCCTGGGTAAAGCTCCAAAACCATTCATTTGAATCCTAATCATCAATGTGGGAATCTCTTGGGTCTTAATGCCAGGATGAAGGATGAACAGTTATATTTTAAAGAGGTGACTCTGCAGGCCGCAGGGCATTGGGGGAGGGGGTCTGAGGCAGGGAGAACAGTTAGGAGGCTTCTCTCAGAAAACAGCAGGTTCACTAGTGGCACAATCCTCAGGTCTCAACAACTGAGTCCACATCCCTCACCCCTTACTGGCCTGGTGATCTTGAGCAGGGGACCTAACTAGTCACTGAACTTCCTTGAGCTAATGTCCTCATTTGCAAAATGAAAACAATAAAAGTACCTACCTCACAGGTGTGAGGCACGTATAAAATACTTCACAGGAAGTATGTAGCATGGTACCCAGCCCAGGGTAAGTGCTCAAACAACAGAGACGGTGACTAAGCTCTTAGTCTCCCCATCTCCCCCTCCCTCTCCCCGAGTGGTTCCAGGTTCAGGAAAAGGAACCAGGGTTGAAGGACATGGGACATGTTAGCGTTAGTACTAATAGGACCCAGGGGGGACGATTCTGGTCACCGGGATGGGGGATACAATGCCATGCAGGAGAGGGAGCAAGAGCCACCAGATCCATCAGTTCACGCAAAGGCACCCCTGTGGGACAGGCAGATGGTGATGTCCGCCAGGTCTTAGAACACTGATGCCAGATTAAAAGCAAAATATCTGACCTCCTCACCTCAACCAGTTTCTTTTTTTTGGTGATATTGTTCTTCTGGAGTTTCTCAGGCAGGGGAACAGCTCTGCTAACAGGTGGCCTGGAACAGAGAGTGGCCAGAGAAACAGCGTTGAACAAAAGACGGCAAGGCCAGGCTCCTCTCGCTCCCCTCGCCCACGCAGAGGGCCCTCCCCCGGGGTTTGCTCTGGCCTGCCCCCCTTGCCTGCCTCCTCCGTGCGCCCTGAAAAGTGGCTTCTGGCATGAAGGGTCCTGCCTGATGGGGCCTTGATTCACAGGCGCTGAGGTGGCTCCCCACACTTATGCCCTGGTGGCCAGGGGTCAGTCCCTCCCTCCTGGGAGCCAGGAGGGACAGCTGAGCCGGTGGGCTGGTTTTAAAACCAAAGTGGAGCCTAAGCAGGAGAAGGTAGAGGCTGTGCTTCCTGAACCCACTGGCCATTTTTCAGACAGAGACGTGTCAAACGTGTTCGGAACCATGTAGGTAGTGAAAAAAATCACGGCACGGCGCGAAGTGGGACTTCCAAGCCAGGCTTGGGAAGGGTCCACGCTCAGGTCATTCCCACTACACGAAAGGGCCAGTAGGAAGCAAGGGATCGAAAACAGAGGGAACTCCCACTCAGCCTCATGCCTCAGGGTTACGGTCTGTGTTGAACTGCTACCCTGAGAGCAGAGGTTGCTTTTTCCATTCTCAGTTTTGGAGATCGAGGCCTTTACATTTAATTAGGAGATTCTGCAATGGGTAAGTGCTCACAGATTTTTATATGAGTCGGACAATTTTGGGTAACCAGGGGTTCCCTTAAATCAACTTGTTGGAGTTTAGGAAACCGGGGACCGGTAGGGGAGACCTGCACCAGCCCCCGCCACACGTTCCAACTCCATTAGTTATTGCTCTTGGTCTAGACAAAGAAAAAGGATTACCTTGATCCCCTTGTAAGCAGCAAACAAAGCCAAGTGAGAAACTTAGTACAGTTTAGAGCCACATGAGCAAGCACCTCATTCATGCACAAGCATTTTCCAAGTGAACAGACATTCCTGTGTGGCACAAACCATGCTTCCCGAGCATGCCAGCAAAGAACTAAAACAGAAATGAAAGAGTGCACCAGTCTACAAATTCAGAAAGCTCATACCCTGGCGTCTCTGGGCAAATTCTGCACTAACGCGCCTACAGAATGGGGAGAAAAAAGGAAGCCTTGTCAATGCTTCCCACACACTCTCCATGACTTTGCAAATGCGCCTGGGGACTGCTTATTTTAGAGTGTGCTGGGGACAAACTTGTTGTCAGAAAACAATCACATCCTCCTGGATGTCGCTGGGACTTGTGCACAATGGGTGCTTTGTTTTCGAATCAAGTTCAACTCATAATTTAGCCTAATAATTTCCAGTGTTTCTTGGGAGGGCAGCTTGCCTGCTGGAACAGCTTGCATTTTTGTGCTGGGGTTAAACAAGCTATCTGTAGTTTCTCAGGAACTCTTCAATCAAAACATGTTATGTAATCATAAGTGATCACTGGACCAAATGGTATTATAATCAACACCGAAGAATGGGTAGAGAGCACATCTCTGCAAAATGACACCCCCGGCTGACGTCACCGCTGCCAAATTAGCAAAGCCAGGAAGTGGGGCCTTGCCAGTTCTTGCAATTAGACACTTTCTTCACATTAATTATCGATTTCCAGAACATCTGCTCTTTCTTCTGTTTTAGTGGGACTTTCAAATGAAATCCGTGGGTTTCTTCTTTCACCAAGAATGTTTAAGTGTATGACAAAAGCAAGCCAAGGTCTGAGATGCGAGCGAGGGGACACTAGGACCGCAGCCTGGCTCATTAGTCAGACTCTGAGATTAAACACAGGGGCTGTTTTCAGGGTACACGCAGGTTGTATAATACGCCACATATTATACAGTATATAGAGTATGCATACAGGCACAAACACTGTGTATTAATATATACACAGGACTGTATATATATATATATATACACATACACACACACGTAGAGACAATTGGTGCTTTTTTCACCTTGATTTTCAGTTAAAAACTGAAAAGTAAAGCAGTCTCAGAATGTTTCTTTCATATTTCACAAGCATATGTTTACAGCTGTATTGCTTCAAAACTGAAGATGAGAGGGGCAAAAGGAAGAAACCTGCATAGTGGCAAATTCAGCGGATTTTAAGTATAGACCCTTTGTGGTTGTGGATTTTGCATGAGCGCTTAATACTGGATGCTCATCGAACACTTGGGCTTTTGCAGAGTGCTGTGAATACTTACTTGACAATTCCCTGCCTCCAAAGGAAAGCAAGTTAAAACACAACACAAGCATTAAAGGCTTCTTTCCAGGCACCTATTAACAGTGTTTGTAACATCAGACATGGGAGGGGCTGCCAAAAATTTCAAACACGGTCAAACACTGGAGGTTTAGCATTTTTCAGCAGATCTAAATCCTTCCAGATTCAGAGTTCATTGGAAATGTGACTCTGAAAAGCTTTGCTGAAGTGGGAAAGAGGAGAGTGCATGAGGACATTCGCTCCCTTTTCAGTCCAATAAGCCCTTTAGAGCTGGCTGTTTCCAGCTGGCACACGGGCTGGGAGAGCGAGGAAGGCAGTGAGTGCCATTGGAAGTCAGCGGGGAGACTCAGAAAGGTTAGAAGCTGGACGGGGAGGGGTTGGGGACTGGAGGTGAAAGGAGCAGAGACACAAAGGGGCCTCCTGGGAGCAAGTGGGGCTTTGAAGACAGACAAAGAAGTGAGAGAGCTTCCATTGGGCAAGAAATTTAAGGAGGGAGCCTGGCAGGAGAGCAAACAAGCTGGATAACAAGGGGAGAGTAGGATGGACAGGATTGAGCTTGGAGAGAGCAGGAGAGCAGCTTTGCTAAGGGAGAGAGGGTGGGGCCAGGAACCCCAAGGAGAGGCTCTGAACTCAAGCATGTGCCTGGGTGGTAAGTAGGGAGGCAGCCCTGTTCTTGCCCAGTGCCGGGGGCAAGGGTAAGGTCACCACCCCCATGCCCTTGTGTGCCCTTTGGAAACGGCGCATTCTGTGGGCAGGGCAGGCCCATCCCTGCTGTAAGCCCACTGTCCGGCAGCTGGGCTGCGGAGGAGAAGGCTGAGACTCTCTTGGAGATGTGTGGAACGTTCCCCGACACAGGCTCTCACCCTGCTAAAGGCCCCCAAGGGTGGCCGGAGCCTGGGTGCCCGCTCCGCCTTGCCCCCTCCCTGGGGTGCTGGGCTGGCAGAGCACACGACGACCCGAGTCGTGCAGCAGAGCCTTCAGCACCAAGAGTCCTAGGGGAGCTTCCAGAATGACCAAGGAGGAGATGGAAACCAGTCTCAGCGTGGCAGCCGACTGGGGAGTCTGGCTCAGAGACCCAATGAGAAGCAAAGTGGTTCCAAGCAGCTTCTGTAAAGCGGGGTGTCGGAGTGCAGAGACTTGGCTACATTTAGCCAAGAAAAGCAAGTTTGGAGATGTTTTTAGTGTTGCTAGTCAATATTCAAAGCATCATTGGAGGAAATTGTAGCTATATTCCAAAATGTGCTATAAAATGCACGAAGTTTTCAAAATGTCATAGGAAACCAAGCCATTCCTGATCCTGGTTTTAGGTTGAAACCAGTAGATGATCTGCAGACTGTTTTAGAGCTGTCCTCAAACAATGTCTATCACCCCATGGGTGGGCTTTGGGGACTCAGTGAACCCTCTGACACTCAGGCCAAATCATGTTTGCACACATGCATTTTTCTGGGGGGGGGGGGGAGGAGGCATGTAGTAACCAGATTTTCAAAGCTGTCTGGAGGGGGGAGAGAGAATGACCCAGTGCTCTAGGATACGTCTGGTTTAGGAAAAGTCTCCAAAGCCACAGGGGCTGTCTATTATCAAAACAAAGAAAATGGATTCTGTTAAATGCATTCTTGTCTCTTCTAGAACCATCTGTGGAGCTGCTCAGTGGTGAAGTGCGGTGGAAGTGAGTCAGGTGACCTGCCGCCCTAAAAATGCTCTTGACCAAAGCCTGAAACACAACCCTTTACAAAATGGGGCTATAACCCTGGGTGGTGTGGCTCAGTGGGCTGAGTGTCATCCTGCAAACCTAAAGGTCACCTTTTTGAGTCCCAGTCAGGGCGTGTGCCTGGGTTGTGGGCCAGGCCCCAGTTGGGAACATGCGAGAGGCAACTGATGGATGTTTCTCTCCCTTTCTCTCCCTCCCTTCCCCTTTCTTGAAATAAATAAATAAATAAAGTATTTTTAACAATGGGGGATACAGTTCCGGACAGTGCCATTTTAGGTGAATATCAATTTATTTGGGTGAAAAATTGAGGGCATCAAGGCTGGAATAGAAGGAACTACAAGTAAGGTAGGCAGGCTATTGAAGAGGTCACTGCAATAGTCCAAGGGAGAGATGAGGAAGATCTGACAGATGCTGTGGTTGTGGAGAAGGAAACAAGTGAGTATTTAAAGAATATTGGTGAAGCAGACTTCAAGGACTTGGTAACTGATTAGCTCTAGTGGATAAGGAGGAAGAACAATGCAACAGGAATCCCAGTTTTCTTCTGGGCATCTTGGCAGACGGCGGCGCCACTGAGACAGGAGAAGATCCATGACGAAAGATGGTGGGTTTGAGGCTGGTGTGTCAAATTCTGGGCGTCTGTGGGTTGGCAATACTAATTGGAAGTTCAACTGAGAGGTGGCACTCAGATTTAGGACCTTGGGAATCATTCCCCAGTGGATGGAATATATGAGATTAATCAAGGAGAAGGTGCAGGGTACAAAGAGAAGGTGGCCCAAGGTGAGATCCCGAGGACCAACAGCTGGAGAGGGGCTGGGAAAGGAGGTAGAGATGGGACACAGAGAAGGACTGTTGGAGAGGCAGGAGGAGGGCCAGGAGCCATTGCTTCCAAAGGTAAGTGAGAGAAGCGTGTCTGTAACTTCACCATCCAATCAGGTAGCCACTGAGCCCTTGAACTGTGGCCAGTCCTAATGAAGATGTGCTACAGCTGGAAACTACACACCAGATTTTGAAGACCTAGTAAAAATAATTTAAAAAAATAATATAAAACAACTCATTAATAATATCGGTTACATGTTAGAACAACTTTTTCTATATTGGATTGAAAAATATATTATTAAAATTAATTTCACAGTCTCTTTTAACTTTTTTAATGTGCCTACTCGAAAAAGCACGTCCACAGCTTGCTCTGTTATTTCTGTTAGAGAATGCTACTGCAGGAGAAGCAGTTCTTCCTTTTAATAAGACAAAGAGGAGAATGGATGGGATTTTGGAATTAGGAAGTCACCACGTCAGCAGAATGGCAGGGACAGAAGACAGGTGGAACAGGCTAGAACATGAAGGAAAGATTGTAAAGCCTGGGAAAGAAGGGGAAAGGGGCAGAAAGGTGAAGGTGGGAATAGGCGGCTAAGCTTATAAAACAAGTCCAAGGATTTGCTTTTTTCCCTGAAGAGAGCTGGGTGGGAATGGGAAAGACTAGAAGATTCTTGGCTGAGGACACGGATCTAGCTAAGGGGAGTGATGTGGGAGAGATGATGATGGAGCAGGGACGATGGGAGGCTGAGGTCCCGTCCCAGCCTCCGCTGAGGGGCCGGCCTTGAACAGGAGGGACTCACTTCCTCCGAAAGGAGAAGAACGGGGGTGAATGGTTTGTGTGGGGTGGAGGACGGGAAGCAAGGTGGGGAAGCGAAAACAAGGACCAAGGTACGGTTGACGCCCAGTGGCTTCTGTTTTCTCAGTGAAGGAGGTTAGAAAAGCCAGGAATGGAAGGGGCTTGGGCACAAGGTTGAGAGGGGGACAAAACTTTGTCCGGCTGCTGAGAGGGATGCAAAGGGAGCCAACCAAAGACAAGAATGAAAATACGTGAGCAGCGAAGAGGGCCTAAGTGCCACTGGCAACACCGACTCTGGTGAGGGCACTGTGCACCGATGTCACTTCCTA